TGCACCCTGGAAACTCCCCACCTTCTGTGGGGAGGCTAACAACCGGCCGGGGAGGGGATAGTGTTCGCGGGGCTATACCGGATAGGGCTACCCATACCGGGCAGGCCCGCGAACACTATGGAGTCCTTTCCAGGTCCTGCGCCTAGCGCAGGCCCTGGTCAGGGCCCAGGCACGCCCATAGGGCGGTGCAGGGCGCGGCGCGCACCAAGGTGCCGCCGTGCGGAGTGGAGGGGTGTTTTCCGCGGGGCTATGCCGGACAGGGCCTCCCATACCGGACAGGCCCGCGGGAAACACCAGTGGACCCTGAGGGGTCGGAGGATGGCGGCCAGTAGGCCGCGCGTCCTGGTAAGGGGACCTCACCCCGTATTAAAGGCGGTTTCCGGTGTCCGACAACACTGGGAAAGTATGGTAATGGCATCTCTTAATATGGAATTACCCCAGGAGGGTACCTCCAGCTCTGCTGGAGGAGAATCCCTCCCCGCGGCTTCGGCCGCGGGCTGCCCCGCGTACTCTGGGGGGGGCAAAGACTGCCTTTCTTATACAACCACGACCCAGGCTAGGACAACGGATTTGATTGCAAGTGATTTGGTGACGGTTACGGAGGTGACGAGGCGCCCATCATTGGTCGGCGTCCAATTGAAGGAGGCGAGAGTGCTGCTGGAGCGCGTTCCGATAGTGGTACCGAACGCCTCGCAGCAGCGCCTACCGGCATTCAGCGACACGTCGGACTCCGATGTGTCGCTGATGGATATGGAGGTAGAGCCACCGGAGGACAGAGAAGACCGGCACCCTGGGTACTCCTGGGGGAGCCTTGGTCGGAAACGGTTACGGGACCAAGCCGTCGCACCAGGCGACGCAGAGACGGGACCCTCGCCCAAACTGGCAGGGACAAAGAAGGGCCGAGGTCGGCCATTGACACCCGGCGGGTACGTAGGGTTCGACTTGGCGAAGCGGGAGTTGGCGGAAGCTACCCGACGCCAACGAGAATGGGAGGCGGAGAACGACCTAGCCGAGGTGACGACGGGGCTGCGGTCGACAAAAGTAGGGGCCCGACTAGCGGAAACCTACACATCGGAGGATGAAGAGCTAGGCTCGGCTGAACTTGGCGGTCAAATAGAGCTTGGCGCAGCGGCCGTAGCGACCGTTTGCGCCAAGTCTAACAATCTTAAAGGGACTGCCAAGAAGGCGCTCAAGGAGGCGGTAGCGCAGATTCGGGCGGCGTCAAAGCTCCTGACGACGCGCAATATAAATGAGGAGACGAGGATTCTGCAAGCGGCCAACTCTCGCCTTCAGGCGGAGATGGTCGCATTGAAGAAAGAGGTGGCGGAACTGAAGGCGTGCATGCTGCAGGTGGGGGCGATACCCAAACCCGCCGCAGCGGCATGCCCCCAAAACACGGACGAGGACTTGGAGAACCGGATCCTAAGCAGGCTCTCGGACCGACTCAACGCTCGCATAGACGGGCTAGAGCCGCGTCTGAATCCAGAGCCTCGCTTGCGACCGGCACTGGCTCACGACAGGCGTGAGGCGGAAGCCAGGAGGAAACCCCCGGCAAGCCGCCCACGCCAAACACCGGCTACGACCCAGGCAGAACTGCCTGAAGTGCGCCTCCCTGAACCGGCCCAATCGGGCTGGATCAAGGTCGGCGCAAAGGGAAAGGCGAAGGCGTCGACCTCTACATCGACGCCGGCCGCTTCTTCTGCTTCTACCACGGCCCTAGCCGCCCAATCGGGCAAAAAGGCTATGAAGAAGGCCAAGAAGAAGAAGAAGAAGTCGGCCAAGAAACAGGAGACGGAACGTCCCCTCCCGCCGGCGCCTGCATCCATGAAGGAGACCATGGCGTCGGTCGTGAAGAGGGGTCTAAGGGAAAAGGCGCCGACGGTCACCAGATCGGCGCCCACGCCCAAGAAGAAGGAGCTGGAGAAGGCCAAGCCTTCTCCCAAGCTGCGGGCCCCCAAGACCTCGGCAGTCGTGGTGACTTTACATCCCACGGCTGTGGAGAAGGGGGTCACGTACGCCAAAACCCTGGCTGAGGCCAGGAAAAGAGTAAACCTCAAGGACCTGGAGATTGAGAGTGTCCGCTTCAAGCGCGCGGCGACCGGGGCCTCAATTATTGAGGTCTCCGGTGCCGATAACGCGCCAAAGGCGGACCTCCTCGCCGACAGGCTCCGCGAGGTTTTCGGGAACGGCGGCGATATCACCGTCTCCCGACCAACAAAAACGGCGGAACTGTTGGTGGCGGGGTTGGATGACTCCGTCACCAAGGAAGAAGTGGCAGAAGCGGTCGGTGCCAAAGGTGGTTGCGCGGTAGACCGCGTAAAGGTGGGACCGCTCCGGCAAGAGAGGTCCGGCCTCTTCGCGGTCTGGGTGGCATGCCCCGTCGAAGCTGCCAAAAGGGTAGTTGAGGGCAAGCTGCTCATAGGTTGGGTCTCGGCCAGAGTGAAGCTCCTTGAACGCAGGGAGCTGAGGTGCTTCAAGTGCCTTCACTCTGGCCACGTCAAGGCGCGGTGTACCGCGGTGGTCGACCGGGGGCTTCAATGCTACCGGTGCGGCCAGATGGGACACCGCGCCGCTGACTGTAATGCTGCCCCTCACTGCACACTGTGTGCGGAGGCTGGAAAGGCAGCAAACCATCGCTTGGGGAGCAAGTCATGCTCGGCCCCCAAGAACAGGATGGTCAGGAGGGTGTTTGTTGCGAGCAGCGCCGGCCCGCAACAGGCACAAACACCACCGAGCGGTGTAGAAGCGATGGAGACGGAAAATTTAACATCACATAATGACGAGTAGGGCTACCAAATACTTGCAAGCCAACATCAACCACTGCGCCAGAGCTCAGGATTTATTGATCCAGAGCATGGCGCAGTGGTCGATTAATATAACGGTGGTGACGGAGCCCTACCTTGTTCCCACGAGGAGCAACTGGGTGGGCGACGAAGACGACCTGGCGGCAATTGCGGTGTCTAACGGCGCCGCAATAAGAAAGTCGCGCAAAGGTCGAGGAGTCGTCGCGGCCCTGTGCGGAGGCGTGATGGTAGTCGGGGCGTATTTCTCGCCGAACCGGCCACTATCCGAGTTCGAGTCGTTCCTCGGGGAGATGGACTCGGTCCTGGCCTGGTGCCGCCCATACCAGATCGTCGTGGCTGGCGATCTGAACGCCAAGTCCACGGTATGGGGGTGCCGTGCCACGGATGCGAGGGGAGAATTGGTGGAGGAATGGCTCGCCTCGAACGGGCTGGTCGTCTTGAACGTGGGGGACACGAACACATGCGTGCGGATGCAGGGTGGCTCAATTGTGGACGTGTCCTTCGCCAGTGCGGACCTG